AAAAGTCTGGGTCTCCACCTGACCCCTGCTGGCTCGGGGTATGGACTTTTCCAGGGGGCGGAGCCAGTGGGACGCTGGTTGTAGTTACTGGGGGAGCACAACTTGCTTGGCTCTTGCAAAGCTTGAGATGTTGGGCTTTGTCCCTTGATTGCCAAGGGCCCTGCTGGCCGGTGGGTTTGAGGCGCCGCGTCATTTGAGGCTGTGCGGTGCCGACCGAGCTCAGGGCCAGTCTCTCGGAGTATCGCAGGACGAGCTGGTGAGCCCATGGGGACCCTCTGCACCGAAGATGCAGGGATGTTGGCCCTGCAGGAGCAGGGTGACTGCTTGGCTAGGACACTGCTGGCAGCTAATTGCTTCTGCTCTGTGTTTCTCCCTAGGCCCCGGACCCCACGTGCCCCCAGTGTATGGCTTGGAGGTGACTGATCTCTCCCAGTGGGATGAGAACGTGCTGAAACCTGCCCTTCAGATTGTGGAGAGCTTCATCCAGGTGAACGTCATCCGTGGCGGGGTCTGTGGGAGGAAGCTTCTTTTGGGGGGCGTCTGATCTCTCTGGCCAGCGGGGTGGGGGCTGTTGCCAGACCTACTGCCTGTCCCTTCCATACGCTGCCGCTGTCACTAGAGATCTTACCCCCACAGCTCCCCAAGGGAGCCTCTGACCCAGAGCTCCCTCTGTCCCAACCCGGGCAGCTTCCGCTCTGCTCCGATAGCCTCTAAGCTTGCCCCTCTCAGGCTGATTTCTGGCTGTGTCCCACCGTGATGAGGTGCCCCCGAATGCCCAGCACACCCCTGGAAGGAGACTCGTGTCCTAGTTTCCCCCCAGGCTCCATGGGGAAGCCGCCTCTCTCCCAATCCCACGGCAGCAGGAGCAAGGAGGGGAACCTCGCTGAATAGCAACTGACCTGACACACTTGTCGCTTCAGGGGCAGCAGCCGTTGGCCGAGCCTGTAAAGATGGAGAGCAAGATGCTTGAGGACAAATGGAGTCATCACATGTGTGAGCTTTGTGACAAAATCATCATTGGGGACCGCGAATGGGCAGGTAGGATCCGGAGGGGGGAGATACGTGGGGAGGGCAGGAAGTGAGTCCATAGATACCTGCGCTTGGCCATGTGACCTTCATCACATGATCTCCGGTTTGTTTACAGCCCCTTATAAAAGCAGCCACTTGCAAGCCTGGAGGGGGTTCGCAAGCCTTGCCAGAGCAGCCATCTGTCAGCTCTTACCATCGCGGGTGGGGGAGGACACAGTAAAGCTCACGCTCTCCTCTGGCATGGGGTCGGAGGAGTCCTCGTAGTCAGAACCCTGCTTAGCGCGTGGCTTCCGATGGGCCTTGTTACCAAGTCAGGAGGGTTAGTGAACAAAGCAGCTTGTTTCTTTTGCAGTTATTGTTTGTGTGAAATAAAAAACAGTCTGTTCTGGAGAGCTTTTTGAAGTCAGCCTTGCCCCACCCTTAAGGTTTTGTAAAACTAAAGCGTTTCCAGATCTAATGCCTACAGGAGCATTTTCGTGATTTTTTTTTTAAACTGAATTTTAATTCCATTGAAATAAAAATCTTTTAAACCAATTAACATTCCTCGGAAGCGCAGAACCTTGAAGTGAAATTGGCTAGAAACTGGCTCGCAGCAGCTGTGAAACGGACACCTCTGTCTTCATTGTGCAAACTGAGTGAAATGCTGCAGTGTCAATAGCAAGGACTAGATTTTAAAGATTCGTTTACTTGTATTGATTTAAAGAGAGGTTTCTAGCATAGGGAAGCTGGTGCTTTTGATGCAGCAGTTCTCTGTAACAGGCTTAAATCGTAAAGGTAACGATCTGGTTTTCAGTAGATCTGTGTATTGGGCTAGTCTGAAGACATTTTAAAAGCCATCCAGACACACCCAGAAGAGAGGCTCTGTGGGGGCATGTCTACATTACAGTGTTATTTTGAAATAGCTTATTTCGAAATAACGCGTCTACACACAAAATGCATTTCGAAATAGCGCGTCCACACTGAGCGGACTCTGAATCGCAT